TTTCCCCAGAACCCAGGAGCACTGAGTTCGTACCTTTGACCAGGCTCTTGTAAGAAACAATAAAAAATTCCAGCCATTCTCAAGCCACCAAAGGGTGAAGGCCCCCCCACCGTGCCAGTTATGGGGGCTTTTTTTTGTTGTACCATACTTCACAACACTGGTCAGTGCTTATTATTGGTGAGAGGGCGGGGGGGGGAAGCGCTTCGTATAATAATGATCATCATAATTGTATATCTATCGATGTGACGAGCATCGCCGTCAACGTTATCGGAAGTGAGTACAGCTGTTGGGACATGCACACTAATAATCTCCGTTTATATAAAAGGCAACGTTGTGAGTATGTGTCTGTTCAAAATGTTTAGCGTACTTCCCGACATTAGTGACACATCACGAGGTAGAACATCGCTTTAGTGACACATCACGAGGTAGAACATCGCTTTAGTGACACATCACGAGGTAGAACATCGCTTTAGTGACACATCACGAGGTAGAACATCGCTTTAGTGACACATCACGAGGTAGAACATCGCTTTAGTGACACATCACGAGGTAAACATCGCTTTAGTACACATCACGAGGTAGAACATCGCTTTAGTGACACATCACGAGGTAGAACATCGCTTTAGTGACACATCACGAGGTAGAACATCGCTTTAGTGACACATCACGAGGTAGAACATCGCTTTTGTCTCATCTCACGAGGTAGAACATCGCTTTTGTGAAGGTGTTCATGATTCAGCGCACAGGGCGCCAACCGCTGCGACGCTGGTCAGGAGCTGTTCGATAATTATCCAGGAAGGTCTCTGCTGTTCCTTGTGGCTGTTGCATTAGGGAGAGGAAAATGGAAGAACCTGCAGAAAATGCGTACACTCACGGTCGGATAAAACACTCGTAACTCTGTTACAGATATGCAAGCAACTGACCTACTTGCTTTGTTGTCTTCTAATAGCTGCCGTAGTTGGTGACTTTCACGCACTCCATGAATTCTGCACGATTCACCAACCTCCCAAAGTGCGGGATTACTTTGTGTGCGACGGATGTAGATATCTGAGATTGAATGTCTTGCTTCTGCTCGTGACATTCTGAATGTTATGATAACCTTAATGGCTGCTGCATATTTCAAAAGCCAGCTAAACTTTCCTCAAATACAGCTTCCTCGTCTTTGTCAGTCTGTGTGTGTGTGTATAGACACACACACAGATCCCTCCAATAGCCTTAACCTGACTTTTGGGGCAAGTGCTGTTAGCGAGCACCTATTAAGGCCAGCACAGCACACAAGGGGGTGGGTGGCCAGCACCACACCCGGCCACCTTTGTCTCCCCTGGTGGCAATGTTTACTACACACCGCACCAGGTACTCATGTGATGAACAGTGACCTACACACACAAACCAGTGGCTAGGATTGCTGACAATGATGCTCACTCAACAAGCTGTCGCTTGGAATTCACGACAAACCGGTCTCCCAAATCCGTTAGCATCGCTGCTCTTTACAATCGCCGGCAGTGCATTCTCATTTCCTTGCACACCCGCTGGTAATTAAGCGCGGACCACCGGTTCTCATCGGCGCGCAAATCTCCCCGCTTCCCAGACCTCAACTACTGTGGCAACCACCAGCCGTGCCGCAATGGAGGCAGCTGCTCCAATGTGCAGCCGGACAGCTTCAAGTGTGACTGCCAGAAGGGCTACCACGGCGTGAGCTGCGAGATCGGTGAGTTTCGGCGGAAACCGTCGGGCGAGACTCCGCGCGGTGCTCTCTTCGCGGCGCGTGGAGCGTCCCCACGCCGAGCCTGGCAGCGCTCCCCCCGCGTCGCCCCTCAAATAAACAGCCCTGGCACCCGGAGGCGGACCGCGGCTGACCGTTTTTATAGCCACGTGTGCGTGGGGTGGGTTTTTATCAATGCGCACCTGTTGGCACGTTGGGCGAATTGGTGCTTCAGTTCGGATCCCCTCACCCCCACCATCTCCCACGTGCAATCTCGGGCCAATCCGGTGAGCCGGTCAGTGATCGTGTGGCTGGCACACGGTGGCGGCTGTTTGTATTTTTGTTTGGCCACGCGACCAGCAACTGTCCACGTGAAATTTGTCGTTGGAGGAACACCGCCTGCCATCAGCTCCACCTTTCGGTGACCACTCTCCCACCTCCGCTGAGCCACGGTTGGCCACGTACGGCGCGAAAGAAGTTCAACGTACGTACATACAGATAAAGGCCCTGCATTGTCACCAACCGACGACCAGTTATCATCATTCAATTCTGAAATGTACTATAAGGCAAAGTAATAGTGAGATTGATACCTGTGATTTATAATGTCTGAAGCAGTCCTGGAATACATAACCTTCACCAAACTTGTGAAAGTATGCTCGCTTACGACCAACATGTAATGGTGAGGAACTTCATCCAGCAGTGGATTGACAGAGGCGTTGTGAAACTGCGCGATTAACTTGCAGCGGGGAAGCGATCCAGTTCCTGCGCCTTTGGAGTATCCGTCAGACCTGTTGCTTGCACGCTATGTGCAGCACGTCACACGTGCAGTTGAGCACCGCCTATGGATAGTAAATGTGTTTCGAGCGCCGCTGCTTGCAATGGAGAGGCCTCGTTAATTTCCAGGTGCCTTGAAATCGTGTCCGGGAATTTATGCACGAATTCAAGTTGCATCGAGCGGGATGCCCCACCGGCGTTGCGGGTTTGTTCGCCGGGCCGTGGCATCGTTCTCGTCTGTTGTTGCCAGTCGACGACACGTGGTGCGCCAACGGCGGCTCCGGGGTGGGGTCGCCCTCGGGCTTCAAGTGCCTCTGTGCCCTGGGATGGACCGGAGCCAACTGCCACGAAGGTCGGCACAGAGCGCACGCACGTATGTGTACGTTGAACCTCTTTCGCGCATCGTACGTAGCCAACCATGGTAGGTGTGGGGGAAGGACGACAAACTATGGGTCTCTGTGTGAGTCTGTGGGTCTCTGTGTGAGTCTGTGGGTCTCTGTGTCAGTCTATGGGTCTCTGTGTGAGTCTATGGGTCTCTGTGTGAGTCTGTGGGTCTCAGTGTGAGTCTGTGGGTCTCTGTGTCAGTCTATGGGTCTCTGTGCGAGTGTATGGGTCTCTGTGTGAGTCTATGGGTCTCTGTGTGAGCATATGGGTCTCTGTGCGAGTCTATGGGTATCTGTGCGAGTCTATGGGTCTCTGTGCGAGTGTATGGGTCTCTGTGTGAGTCTATGGGTCTCTGTGTGAGCATATGGGTCTCTGTGCGAGTCTATGGGTATCTGTGCGAGTCTATGGGTCTCTGTGCGAGTCTATGGGTCTCTGTGCGAGTCTATGGGTCTCTGTGTGAGTCTGTGGGTCTCAGTGTGAGTCTGTGGGTCTCTGTGTCAGTCTATGGGTCTCTGTGTGAGCATATGGGTCTCTGTGCGAGTCTATGGGTATCTGTGCGAGTCTATGGTCTCTGTGCGAGTCTATGGGTCTGTGTGTGAGTCTATGGGTCTCTGTGTGAGTCTATGGTATCTGTGTGAGTCTATGGGTCTTTCTGTGTGAGTCTATGGGTCTCTGTGTGAGTCTATGGGTCTCGTGTGAGTCTGTGGGTCTCTGTGAGTGTATGGGTCTCTGTGTGAGTCTATGGGTCTCTGTGAGTCTATGGGTCTGTGTGAGTCTATGGGTCTCTGTGTGAGTCTATGGGTCTCTGTGTGAGTCTATGGGTCTCTGTGTGAGTGAGTCGATGGGTCTCTGTGTGAGTCTATGGGTCTCTGTGTTCTGGGTCTCTGTGTGAGTCTATGGGTCTCTGTGTGAGTCTATGGGTCTCTGTGTGAGTCTATGGGTCTCTGTGTGAGTCTATGGGTCCTGTGTGTGAGTCGATGGGTCTCTGTGTGAGTCTATGTCTGTGTGAGTCTATGGGTCTCTGTGTGAGTCTATGGGTCTCTGTGTGAGTCTATGGGTCTCTGTGTGAGTCTATGGGTCTCTGTGTGAGTCTATGGGTGTCTGTGGGTCTATGGTCTCTGTGTGAGTCTAGGGTCTCTGTGTGAGTCTATGGGTCTCTGTGTGAGTCAGAGTGGCTGTGTTATGTCTATGGGTCTCTGTGTGAGTTTATGGGTCTCTGTGTGAGTCTATGGGTCTCTGTGTGAGTCTATGGGTCTCTGTGTGAGTCTATGGGTCTGTGTTTGAGTCTATGGGTCTCTGTGTGAGTCTATGGGTCTCTACGTGAGTCTATGGGTCTCTGTGTGAGTCTATGGGTCTCTGTGTGAGTCTATGGGTCTCTGTGTGAGTCTATGGGTCTCTGTGTGAGTCTATGGGTCTCTGTGTGAGTCTATGGGTCTGTGTGTGAGTCTGTGGGTCTGTGTGTGAGTTTATGGGTCTCTGTGTGAGTCTATGGGTCTCTGTGTGAGTCTATGGGTCTCTGTGTGAGTCTATGGGTCTCTGTGTAGGTCTATGGGTCTCTGTGTGGAGTCTATGGTCTCTGTGTGAGTCTATGGGTCTCTGTGTGAGTCTATGGGTCTGTGTGTGAGTCTGTGGGTCTGTGTGTGAGTCTATGGGTCTCTGTGTGAGTCTATGGTCTCTGTGTGAAGTCCTGTGGGTCTGTGTGTGAGTCTAGGGGCTCTATGTTGAGGTCCTATGGGTCGCTGTGTGAGTCGATGGGTCTCCTGTGGTGAGTCTGTGGGTCTGTGTGTGAGTCTGTGGGCTGTGTGTGAGTCCTTGGGTCTCTGTGGTGAGTCCTATGGTTCTCTGGTGTGAGTCCTATGGGTCCTCTGGTGTAGTCCTAGGGTCTCTGTGTGAAGTGGTATGGTCTCTGTGTGAGTCTGTGGGTCTCTGTGTGAGTCTGTGGATCTCTGTATGAGTCTAGGGGTCTCTGTGTGAGTCTGTGGGTCTGTGTGTGAGTCTATGGGTCTCTACGTGAGTCTATGGGTCTCTGTGTGAGTCTATGGGTCTCTGTGTGAGTCTAGGGGTCTCTGTGTGAGTCTATGGGTCTATGTGTGAGTCTATGGGTCTCTGTGTGAGTCTGTGGGTCTCTGTATGAGACATACGTAGCTAACTGTGCTCATCAGAGGTGCGGGGCAAGGACAACAAACTGAACACTAAAAACTGTTCTAAAGAAGTGAGTTTTGAAAGTTCATAGCTCCAGTGGCTTGCTAATATCGGAAGGAAGAGCATTCCAGACGACCGCAGAAGCACATCTGAAAGCCCGCGATGCGGTGATCGTCTTTGTTCGATGGTTAGCCAATAGCCACTGTTGCGAAGATGTCCAGACTTTGCGTGAAAGCATCACCCGGCCTCGATCCGGGGCCGCAATGACCGCTCAGCCCGTAGCGAGGTCGCCGCTCTTTGCAGTCGTACGTGGGTTGAACCTGGTGGGCAGCCCTGGTTTACCGCTGCGGGATTGAACAACCGTGCAATACCACGCGCCGTCTGCTTCACAGTGGACGTTAACGATTCCGTGACGTCAGTCGCATAGGGGATGCCACATTTTGTGCCACCGTGATTGTGCACATTTTCTAATTTGCCTGCAAATTGATGAATTGGGATTACAACACAAAAACATCCCCCCCACTGAATGGTATAAATACCAAATGTACAAATTATGTTTTAAGCGTCCGATAGTTGAGACGCCACCGTGCATTATTGTTGAGCTGCATTATCGGAGCGCGCAGTCTTAAAGCAAAATAACGACTCAACAATTTCCCTCCTTTATCAATCCACCATATCAGTCACGAGGTTTTTTAAACCATATTTTGCCATGCCAATCAATATGGGTTGGTGAGAGAGGGATGGGGGCCCAGGACTGATTCTGCTATCACTTGCCACTGATGTTAGCTGTGTTACTGAGAGGCGAACGCACGTCAGCGGCTTCACAGCATAGCGTGTCAAGTGATACTATGTTAAAATATACTCTGTATTTTTAGTGCTTCTATCAAAGGTGGAGTGGTGGTGCGGTGGTTAACGTGCTGCGCCGAGTTTGATTCCCCAACGTCAATGGCGAGTGATGTCCGAACCGGCTCTGGCCACCATTCTTCACCAACGCACACTGAGAAGTGTGGTGAAGTACGGTCACAACTCCCCCACGACCAACATGATGTTGGGGGAGCGGGGTGGGGTTCAGTACGCAGGGGAGGGATTGGGGTTAATGTTTACGTGCCACCCGGAGGCACATCGATACGTTTCATGATACGGGCATGTGTGTCACTCTACATGATGTGTTTATGTGACCCATCCCGCCACTGGACAACCGCTACATTCACCGTGATGGATTTTTATTAAAACAAATCGCGACAAATCATTATTCAGTCGGGGCCAATCGTTAGAACTCTGATTGATCACAATTGACATGACAACAGGTTGTTTTAGTAACAAGTAAACATGAAAAAGGTGCAGGCCTGCAATTGCCTGTTCACACCACTGCTTTGTGGAAGGGCCTCCCACTCAGGAGAGCTCCATTGAGTCCCTGTCGAGGGCCATTGGGACTTTTTCTTCAACGATGGCCAAACGTCTTGGGGGGGGGTTTGGTGGTGAGCGGCACAGGCAAGGGGGGGGGGGGGCACAATGGCGAGAATCTGGCCACATAGAGGGGGGCATGTAAACTAAAACTATAAACAACTTATCTTGTTGTACCAGCTAAGACCCACTGAGCTAGATAGCTTTGTTTCAGAGGTGACCTGGGCCACCAATGGTAACTCAACGAGGTGGCTTATCAAGTGAAATACTCTCAACGCACGTTTATGAATGTCGAGGGGAAGCACCGGAGGACCCTGAGAAGAATCCACGTGACCACGGGGAGAACGAAACGTAGACCCCAAATACACGGCAGGCGTCAGGGTTGGGATCCAACCCATGAACCCCCTGCTGCATACCAGGTGAAGGAGTTAGCATCTCGCCGCCGTGGCACCTAGAACCACACCTTTACCTTGTCATGCCACTGATTTCATCATCGCAATCCAAGATGCAGTGCTTTGAATGTTCATGAACAGCCGTCCCTTTCTCTCTCGCCCACAGACATTGACGAGTGCGCGTCGAGCCCTTGCGGTCATGGAGGGACCTGTCTCAACCTGGTGAACGGGTTCAGCTGCACGTGCCCTCCACAGTGGACGGGGCACACCTGTCTCCTGGGTGGGTGACGTCCAGTGCCGCGAGTTCTACGCCTGTCTGAGCTCACATCGTCGTCGGCACTTTGAGGATTCTGAAGGCTCAGTGTCAATGAATTTGGTTCCCGGAGGCACTGTTGGTATTCTTCAGGTTCGGTGCCAATGCCCCAAGGCTCATGGAACCATCTAGAATATAATGCTCAAAGCGCCAAGTGTCTCGTCGGTAACAATGTCATTGTATGTCTGTTGAACTTATTTCGCACCATACAGCGTCAACCTCGCTAATCACAGGTGCAGAGGGAAGGACAGTGAACTAGACAAATTGGGGTGGGGCTTATCATCATTGGAGATCCGGAGCCTGCGGGATAAATTCCACATTCACATGGCGGGGACCAATCGCTTCATCAACAGCCGCCGCTGATTCACCAAAACAAGTTGCCTGCTTTGTCGACCCTCTGTGGGTGATTATGGGCTGACCCCTTTGCAGATATTTTCGCCTCGCAACTTTGCAACTGTGAGTATGACCCTCTGCCAGCCAGCTTGAAGCTTGAACAATGCGAAAGTTAACATTGCATCGTGTGCCCGGATGGGGGGGGGGGGGGGGGCCCGCAACATGTTTGCTGCAGAAAAGTTAATGCCACGGTCGCAAGATGTTAACTATCTCGCCTGGTATACAGGAGTTTGTGGGTTCGATCCCAACCCTGATGCCTGCTGGTGTATATTTGGAGTTTGGATGTTCACCCCATGGTCGCGTGGACCCCTTTCACATTTAAAATCAACGTGCGTTTTTAGAGTGTCTGGCTGCTATAAATGACCACACGATAGCCACTTTGTTGAGCTATCATTTGTGGCCAGGCCGCTTCTGAAAAAGAGCTGTGTAACTCAGAGGGCCTTACCTGATAAAAATAAAATTAGTTCATAATGCCGCCTATCAAAGCTTGTCGCACCTGCGTATCCCAAGGAGGTGCGAAGGAATCCTTCCTTCCCAGTGAGTGCTTTGCGTGCTTGAAGGTGACGTTGGCGGTGGCTGCAAGTCGGCCTTTTCACAGATCAGGACGAGTGCGATGACAACCCTTGCGTTCACGCACGCTTCTGCAAGAACCTTTTCGGAGGCTACTACTGCGGTTGCCTGCCCGGGTGGACTAGACAGAATTGTGACATTGGTAGGTTCACCTCTCTCCTCCACGCCCACGTGCATCATCGGTGTCAAACAAAAACACACGTGCATTTCGATAGACGCTGAAATCAATGCTATTCTTTCAACCCAATTGCCTAGTATAACGTGCAACCTCAGGCCAACTTTTGTCACGTGGTTTGAGCAGTTGAATCAACATTGACCAAACATTTTAAATGTATTGCCTATCTAACCTATAAAAGTATTTTTTGTCTGTCCGTCCAAGTCTGTCCGTCTGTCTGTCTGCGCACGCGCGCTTGCGAGGGATTTGTCTCTCAAACGGTGGGGTTAACGTCGAAAAAAAATTGCCAGGCAGCACGCCCTAAGTCCCGCGGTGGGTATAGGCTATTCCGTTTCCCATCCGTAAACTTTAAAGTAGTTAAATGAACAAGTTAGTGGGGCCGTGGGTAGCGGCCCAGCCCCCAGCCTGGCAATGTGTCACCGGCTGGGCAATCTAGGCGAGGCCTCGGGCTCTGCACGGGACGAGGCCTCACCACGGCAATGTAAAGTAATTTTTATTTAAACTTTCGCTAAGAACTCAGGTTCAGTGTTTACTATTATTAAACCAATTAGTTGGCAGATATTACAATAATAATATTTGTGTGCAGATAACAACTCTGGTTCATTGTTTACTATTATGAAACTAATAAGTTTTAAATGGAGTCGCTATCTTATTTTAATGCTCTAAGCCCATCGAATGTTCGCTCCAGTCTTGATATGTCTGGGCCAAACTGATTGTATCCTGGGTTTCTGGTCTGTCAGGTGTAGTGGCACACGCATGTAATTCAACATTCTGATAGATGACTGTGCAAGGCAGAATCGAAAGTAGGTCCTTGACCTAACTGTGGGGATTATTTTCCTTGACACGCTGCGGATGCTCCCAATTTCCTCCCACGTACAAAATACTTGGAAATAAATCGACCAATTCCCAGGAAGACAGTCAAAAGTCCCGTGGCAGAATCAGCCTGCACTGTCACCCTCCCACACAGAGCAGTGGTGTACTCATTTTTAACAGCCCCGGAATGATGACAGAGAAACTGGGATCCTTTAGGGGGATTTAAAGCTTGCAACTGTCCAATTCATCAGTTGGTCACAGTGTCAAGAAGCCACCTGGCAGGATTGCAGAATCAGCCTGGGTGTGTTCCCTGTGTCGCCGACACACTGCACACCAACACCAAGTGTGTCCCACCATCTTCTTGGTTCTTTCGGTAAAGTCACGTAGAAGGAAAGTAATACAATAATAAAAATAAAACATAATAAAATAAAATAATTCTCACGACGTTTCGGCCACAACGCAAGCAGCCGTCTTCAGGTGAAGAATGAGACACTACCAAGCTAGGAGCTTATATATACGCTGGGTTGGAGGTGGAAGAAGAGCGCCTTAACAAAAAGAATGTGCATATGAAGAGGAATTTAGCATATTCATGGAAAATGCGTAGGAGGTGGGCGAGGGGGTTTCAAAGTCATTTTCCATGAATATGCTAAATTCCTCTTCATATGCACATTCTTTTTGTTAAGGCGCTCTTCCACCTCCAACGCAGCTTATATATAAGCTCCTAGCTTGGTAGTGTCTCATTCTTCACCTGAAGACGGCTGCTTGCGTTGTGGCCGAAACGTCGTGAGAATTATTTTATTTTATTATGTTTTATTTTTATTATTTTATTACTTCCCTTCTACGTGACTTTACCGAAAGAACCAAGAAGATGAATCCCTGCAGTCACGAAAGCTTTAAATCGAAATGTATCCCACCAGTGAATGTGCACGCTCCGGCTGCGCGCACCGGCGTCTTGTGTTGTTCGTGCGGTTGCTCCGCCGGCGAGCGGTGGCTTTCCCTTGGAGTGCTCCGTGAACAACGCCGTGGCGACACTGGGCCGTTCGAGCCATGGCCTCATTCAAGGCCTGCGCTTGACAAACACTCGCCTCTGGATTCTGTGCCAAGTGACGCGATGACCTTGAAAGTGTTTGTCATTTAACAGCCCCCGGCCCCCCCCCCCCCACCAACAAATTTGACTCTACCTCTCTTTCCTGTGGCCATAACCTCATCGCAACATCTCCAAGCCACAAACACGTGCCTTGACAAATGGGGGGGGGGGGGGGGGGGGGGTATTGAATGACGGTGAACCCGGTTTGAGACTCGATATGGTCGATTGATTAATTTGTTCATGCTGCCCAATAGATGTTTTATTGTACACTGATCACCCCACATTCATAACGAACGTTTGGAGAATATTCATAATTTGAGTATGATGGGTTCTCAAGCTATTCATGACTGGTAACTGATTGGTTAAGCAATGCACATACAACAAGTCGCAGACGACACATCGATATGTCGAGGTCTCCAATGTTTAGTGCATCGCAAATGTGCAACACACCTAATGCACGTGTGCCCTCTATTGCCTGCCTAGAGACAGATTTTTAGGAATCATAGTAACGATCTTCTATCTGTTCTCTTTCATTTCACCAGCTGTCAATGACTGTGAGGGGAAGTGCTTAAATGGAGGAGCATGCAAGGTAAATGCCGACCCACAAACGCACTTCCTCTGAAGACATTTCATTGCATTGTCTCATCGTCGTGTGCATTCACTTACAATGAATCATCTTCTGGGCGCCGATGCCTTAGGGTATGAGACTTGACGTGTGTTTAGACTGCAACCCAAGTCTTATACTATATTTGTTGTGGGAGCATATCATATCAAAAGCTGTGGGTTGTTGCCTCTGCAGCTTGATCTAAGTAATTATACATGCGCTTGCTATCACGGGCGCCGGTAATGGTTAAGAGTAACGACTTCTATTGCAGCTTACTGCTCACAGCGTTTGTAAATGCCCCGTGAATTTAGCTTCCTTATTAATGAGTACGTGCCACCCCAGACACTCAATGTTTATGTAAAAAAATAACATGAAAACATTGTTAATATTTAAGTTGTCTGGAGTTGCGTTGGCTTTGTCCACAGTTTAAGAACAAGTTGTTTTTTAGTCTTTTTTTCTATCGAAATTTGTTTGTCTGTTTGGACAGCTTTTTGTTGAAGACCACAAATCATAACCTTAACCAAACAAGCAGAGTTTCAATACATTATTTGTATTGATTTCTCTTGTTGACACTGTTATTCGGAAAGCGTACCTTTTATTTGAAACGTGCATTCATGGAGATACTTACGCAGAATTCATTTTTCTTTTTAAATACTGCGGCACTTTGCCATTAAACGTTTCCATTTGCGATGGTTCAACACAATCGCGAAACACCGCCGAAGCGAAGCGAATGCAAAGTAGACGACACCGAAAACGGGGATATTTCACGCGTCGACGACGTACGACGTCGTTCCACTCTGGCAGGACCTGACCGACGATTACAGCTGCGAGTGCAAGCCGGGCTACACGGGCAGACGCTGCGAGACGGAGGCGGACAAGTGTGCTGCGAGCCCGTGCCTCAACGGCGGCCAGTGCAGGGACGCCGTCGATTCCTACGACTGCGTTTGCACGGACGGCTTTGCCGGCGACAGCTGCCAAGTAGGCGCCGCGTTTGTTCTCGAAGCGAGCTGCCGCGTGATCTCCGTCCGCGCGCCCGCGGCTGCGTCGCTTTTCATCGAGACCGGTGTTGCACGCACATCGAGCCCTGCGAATCCCAAAGATGCCGTGGATTTGCGTCCGCCGGGCTCTGGCGTTGATGACGAACCCTGAGAACAGCTGTCCAACGTGTGTTCGGACTGCGCCATGGGCTTTGTTCGGCGTGATGTCCGACGTTTCGCCGCACGTGCCGGAGGCTTCTTCTGGAACCGACCGAAGGAAGTTCCCGGCACGTGTAGCGAAGCGTGGACCATCGCGGCGAACAACGCACGGCACGACCAACAATCACGCTGTGGAGATCCACAGCAGCGCAACCTCTACAGTCTTTACACGCAAAGTGCTTGCCACAAATGAGCCACAATACCTTGCTGATCTTGTTAAGGAGCATAGACCATCACGCTAACTTCGGTTATCCTCACAGCGGCTTTTGGTTAACCATCAGAGATTAGAAAGCCACTGGAGTTATGCTCCGCACCGCCGATGAGCGCGGTTGACTACTTGCGGTGCAAAAAGAGTTCAGGAGTAGAACCCGATGAATCTCATGGAATACCAATGAAGGCACTCTGAACAGTGGGCATTAACAGTTAACCGAAAGAATTATAAACGTGAATTATTAAGAGTAGGGTAGAATAATTTTTAAGAATATAAGAAGTATAATTTAAGACGGATAACTTCTAATTTCTCAAGTAGTTCATAATAAAATGGTTGTATTTGTAGTTGTTAATGAGGGGTCTCAATTTTGCATTGAGCATGAGGAGAGTGGTGATGGCGAGGTGTGATGCTTGGTATCCGTGATGACCTCCAACCTTGAGAGCACGTTTGATCTGCTTGAGGTTTAATTTTTTTATTTCGATTTAAAGCTTTCGTGACTGCAGGGATTCATGTTATTGGTTCTTTTGGTGAAGTCACGTAGAAGGGAAATAATAAAATAACAAACATAAACCATAATATAATAAAGTTCTCACGACGTTCCGGCCACAGCGCAAGTAGCCGTCCTCAGGTGAAGAAACAGCTGTCTGACAGACAGCGCTCCAATGGACACCGCTAAGCTTGGCGGCTTATTTTTAAACTGGGTGGGAGGAGCAGAGCGCCTTGACAAAGGAGTTTACATATCAACAGATTATTTATTTTTTTACATTTTTCACTTTCGGCCAAATTCTTTGACCCACGGTGGGCTGCCCTCCATCCGCTCTGCTGTGTGTGCGTGCCCATGTCAGCACTCGAGCGTGTGCACACACGCCAACAGTTCACACGGCCACATTGTGCACCTCTTTCTAAAGAGGCTTTCAAAAATGCTTTGATGCTCATCCAGTGGTTTTGTACTTTCGTTGAAATCAGCTGCTGCCATTGAATTTATATGGAAAATGTGCTGCTCTGATGTATACATAAAAAAACGCTCAGTTCTCTTACTGATATTGGAATGATTTTTATTTATTTGGATTAAAAAATATATATATATTATGCCCTATCCCCAACTTTCTAGGTTATCTTCTGAACACCGTTGCAAGCATGCACGAGTAGTTATCCTGTTAATTAATTTGTCTCATCCGTATTAATTGTCTACCCGTGATGTTGTTTCTGCTTTTTTTTCGTCACGCTGTCTGCGAAAATGCGATGGATCGGGCACAGATCTGGGTTGATGGCCGGGTGACTCGGCGGTCGGAGCGAGCGGCTCGCAAATCGGAAAGGTTGCGAGTTCAAATCCCAGATGGCTGTTTGACTCAGCCCATCATCGCCTTCATAGGTGCTCGCTAACAGCACTTGCCCCAACAGTCTGTTAAGCATATACGGGGGGGGGGGGATCTTTGTCTTTGTTTTTGTCCTCAGCTGCACGTGGAAGTCTGCGTCCCGAACCCGTGCCAGAACGGGGCCCGGTGTGAGAACCTCCCCACGGGCGACTACTTCTGCCACTGCTCGGAGAACTTTGAAGGAACAAATTGCACCCTGCTGAAGGACCATTGCCTCACCTCGCCCTGCCAGGGTAAGTCGTCGTTTCCCCAGCCGCAATCGTCGCCTCCATACCCGAGTTTCTGCTCTTAATTTTCTGAAGGGCTAAGAGCCCATCGATGTCATTTATTTAATGTTTCAAATCGATGCTCGTGGAGCCTTGCGTGCCCACACAATCGTGGATAGTTTGGTGCGCCGCGGTACGTGCGGAAGTGAAGACGAACGTGTTTGCTGCTGCAGTGGCCGTCTTTCCGCCGGCAGTGACGTAAGGAGGCCATTGCACGGCCGCACCTTTACCCGTGTCTGCTGGCAGGGAAAGGTAAAACAAATGAAGGCTTACTCGCAGCCTCAAAGGAGCGTGCGGGCAGGTGGTGCTAGCCAGCTCTTGTGTTGAGGTATCATTAATGGTGTTTCCACAGCAATCAATCAAGCTTTGGAACACTTGCATTCGTTTGAGACACCCTTAACCGAGGAGAGAACTTAATAGCAGCAACTGAAGGCTGCGAATGCTGGGATGAGCAGTGGTGTCTATTGACCGCTGTTCAGGTTGTCACATCGCCGTTTGGAAGATTAGTTTCCCCATTCATGTCCCCCCCCCCCCCCCCCCCCAATACGTTCGGCCGATCGCTCAACATCCTGCGCACGTTCTCTCAACGTGCCGCTCTCCGTGACGCGATTTGTATGTTGTGCAGCGTCCAAACGCAACCGAAAGTCGAGACGCTTAATGCAACAAGCGGGACACAATTCGCCCCCAAATTATAAAAAAAAGGAAAGATAAAAAAACTTTAACGATGAACGAGAATGCAAATTGTGCCTTGTTTGTCATCTTGCACAAGAGAGCGTGCACATGCACGGACCTCTAGCAGTGAGAAGCAAACCCATAGCTTTTTTTATTCTTCATGTCTGCCACAGACTTAGTGACTTCTTGTGCAACTACGTCTGATGGTCGCAGTGTCCCAGCACTCAAATGGAGCACTGGCCAGTACCAATCTCTCTTGGCAGTTTTGAGCCAGTGGGCCGGAGCTCAGTGAGGCCAGCGGTCAGTAGGCTGGGACCCTGAAGATTCCCGGACCCGACGTCCTTCTCAGGGCCGTGTCTGAGTGGACCAGCGGTCGAGACCCGAGGACCTTGGCTGGGTCGGGTCCGCCTCCCCTAGGTCCCGCTAGCCGCAGGGCTGAGAGCCCGGAGGCCGTGGTACCTCCTTAGGTTGTCGGGTAGAAGGGGGCCATTACCCCTTCGTGTTGGGGACCTTCTGTGTTAATCGTTTAATAAATACGTGTTGCCTCCTAAGAAGACTCCATACAACCCACTACGTATGTGTAATAAAGGTCGTGGAAGCGACTTCTGGAATCTGGGTCTTTATTTGTTTTTCGTTTACAACACTCTTCAGATAGGTTCCACTCCTGTCCTACTCCTTCACGCTGCTCACAGACGGCGTGAGAGGGAGATACTCGCGCCTCACCCTCCGTTCGTTCCAGATCTGACCACGTGTTGTCCGTCTCCCCCCCTTTTAATACCCGGGTCACGTGGTGCCTTTCCACCAGTCCTGGTTAACCTCCATGGAATCTTCCAGACTCCATCGTAGTATCCCAGGACCACGCCCCTGACTCGTCCCCCCATTGGCTGTGGCTAAAGCCAGCAGATCCAATCATCTACTTGCAGATGTCACCTTCCCATGACGTCAGGGCCACGCCCCTAGACTTCTCCCCCATTGGCTGTGGGCCAGGACCGGTAGAGCCAATCATCGTAACGAGGTGCGATCAATCAACCACCCGGATGTACTCTCACATTGCATATGCATCAGGATCCCAAAACTGAATTCCCTCACTCACGACCTGCCAGTGTCCACCTTTCCTTATTGGGAAACAATCATCCATAATGTTACAGTCTTACGCACACTTTACGCACCTGATGATTGCTGAATGCGTCCCAATAGGGCAGAGCGTGCCAATCAAATTAGTTACAGATCTTGTTTTGTGTGTGCGCGTGTTTGTCCCGCGTGGTGTAGAGAAGGCTCTACATTTGAATCGGCACTCTCCCTCGTTCCCTCGTTCACTTGTGTGTGTTTACCAACCGTCGGGCGTGTGCAGCATGCAGCTTGTTGAACTTCTTTTGCACCGTGCAATTACTTAATGTGAAGGAGAAGATTATTCGGCGTGAAAAGACGGACCGGAATGTGGGACACTCCGTCATGCCCTGCACAGCGGCAGGGTACAACTCTGCACTTGTTACTTTTTCCCACGTCACCAAAAACTACCGAATGATTTTCAAGCTGCATTGCAATCGCATGTTTATTTGACCATGGGCATAGTCCTGGGCCGTTTTATTGCACTCGTGCAAAATAATCGTAAAAAAATTAATTGGCCACAGATTTCAACACAAGACGTTCCTGGAAAAAAAAGTCTCATGGCTCATTGAACCATCGCTGGATGATATAGAAAGGTCTGATGCTAATTACACACGTTAGTCAGCGCCGCCTATATTTGACTCACAAAATGTTTGGATCTGAGTCGTGCTGCGTTGTAATGCAGTTGCGAGGCTGGTCACGTTTCACGTGAATAGCACGAGTGATAACACACAACACACATTTCCTAGTAAGTGTACGCGACAACGATGACCACGATGATGATGATGATGAGATGCCCGTTCTGTTGTAAGCCGGCAGCAATAATCGTATTTCTCTTGTGAACAAAGATTGCAGTTTCACTCATCAGAGCGGGCGTGCCGTGTTCCTCAACTCGCTGCGTAATGTTCACCTCGATATTAATACGCCGTCAGGCATTTACACGGCGCTGCTGCTGTCCATGAAACTCAACGGAGAGATTTTTTTATACTTATTGGCCAACGATGAATGTCAGTGGACGAAAGTCGCCGAGCGTGGCCGTAACTCTGACTGCTGCGTACCAAACGCCAAATCGTGACCGACTATGAAGAGATGAAAATCGACTGGTCTGAATTAAGATGTCAACTAAGATCGTTCATCATGTCGTTAGAGACAACAGTGCACTTGAGGAAAACCAAAATGAGCCATTGGCTCTATAAATGTACATTGGCTCACCCGATAACAATTACAAGTGGCTGACCTGATTATATTTGGGGCAATTTGGTGGCCAGTTGCACTACTGACATTTAATAACCAAGAGTGTTGTACTCAAATGTCTGACTGATTAAGTTGACTAAGAGAATAGCCAGATAACATCCTCAGACTTGACTCAAGTTCCACAGATAGTCGGCACCTAGACTATGACTAACATCGCAAATGCTCACCAAACAAACACCGGCTCTCCCGCCCGACCCTCTGCCAGCAGACAGAATGGTGTTCACCGTGAGTGGTGCGCTGGGCTTCCTGCTGCTGCTGGCCACGCTGCTCCTCTGCCTGTGCTGCATGCGGAGGATACGAAACCGCCGGTCACCTCACCTCGACAAGGTGAACAACAAGGACAAGGTCACGGAGCCGCTCGACAAGGTCGTAATCTGCAACCCAATCGGTGGCGGTGGCGGCGGTGGTGGCGGTCAGAACAACAAGCGGCTCGAGAAAAATGTGTGCCTTATGGGAAAAATGTCAACACACAAAATCGAGCTGGAGGAAATGGACAAGCTCGGATTTAACAATAAAGCGACGCTGGGCTACGGCGCCGGATCGCTGGCCACGCCCGAGGAGCAACCGCTGAAGTCGAAGTAAAATGTGAAGAGACCTACGCACACACGAACGGCACGGGCGGAAGTATCGTCCTGTACTGCACTGGCACAACAGATCTTGGTGTCGTGAGCAGCAGCAGCAGCAACAGCAGCAGCAGCAGCAGTTACACGGACATTGATAACTGGACAGAAATGCGTGCCGTGCCTTTTTTTTCCCTGACAGGAGGTAATCGGGGGGTTCGTTCAGTTCCTTTTTCACCATTTTCAGTAGCAGGCGTCGCTTCTGGCGATCCACGCCTGTGTCTTCGCAACAGGCCCGAACCTTCGGTTATGTCCCCCCTATACACTCCCCGGCGTGGCCAGGCCCCCCCCCCTTCTAGAACCTTCGAGCAAGTTCCCGGAGCTTCCTGACTGACCCCGCTTTGACCTTTAACCCAGACACGCCCCCTTCTGGTTGTTTATTATATAACGTGCCCATCACCATGCTTACCCCTCCTGGCTGGCTGGCAGGCAGCACCCTGTCATTACACTCGTGCATGATCTGTGTTCTGTACTCTTTTCGTGGCCCCCTATTCTTTCAGAGTGCTTCCAGCCACGGAACCCACAACTAAATCCGCCGAGCCTGACGGAGAACAGTTTTAATGCAAAACAGTGGACACACAACCTGTTGAGGGTGAGTGCAGTAGCCACTGTCTAGAAACCTGCTGCCCATTTGGCAATATACAGTTGAGAAGTTCATTGTTGAAACTTTAGTCGTTCCACTAAGCGCTCTATCTTGGACTGAAGCTGGGTATGTTTCACTGCGGTTTTGGAAGGGGACTGCTCTTTCAAGAAGCGCTGACTTAATGTCACTGGAAGTGCAGGGTCAGTGACCTCATAGCACCAGGAATGGCTTGCTTGCTCATTTGATTCTTGTGAACTGCCCAACTATTCCCGAGGTAGAAATGTGGTGGTTCTTGTATACCACCATCAGCTGTTGAGGGTTCGCCTTCAAAGTGGAATAAAGCACTTCCACGACGGGTTGAGACTGGCGTCTTTTCTTTGACTAACAACTACTGCTCGGCTCCACACCCCCCTCCGGATGGTCTCACTCTCACTCCACTGCCGCGATGTGCGCGCTGCCTCGTCCGCCGCCGTCCCAGCGCGGCTCTGTTGGCTCTCTCCCGCTCGCCGCCGACTGGCGGCGCGCGGGGCGTAGAGAGGGCTTCGCCGGCAGGGGCTGCACGTGGCCGGTGGCGTGACGAGGTGGCGGAGACGCAGTCCTGGACTCCAGGTTCCCACACCGAGCCCGAGTCCTCCTAATGCCTCTCCTTCCGTCGCTCTCGCCTCTAGCCACGACCCTCCTAGAACCTCCTGGACGCTTCCCGTCCGCACCCACGGGCTCCGCCCATTACCTTTGGCCCAGATGGAACCCTTAGCTCCGATTGGCTACGAATACCACGGCAGTGCCTATGCAGCCCTTCGTCCGTCGTTCCTCGGTGGCGCTCTGTCATTACAAAAGGATGTCTCTGGGGGAGTGACAACGTTACTGGAAGCTGATCTAGTGCTCGTTCGTCCCTCACAGCTGACAATGGAGCTGCTCTCATCATTATTACTATCAGAGGGTTTTTGAAGAAGTTGGCAATGAGTGGAACACTTTGAAGCAAAACTGCCTCTCTCCCTTGCCTCCTTTTCTTGTTTGGCTTTCCTTTTCGAAGCACCACTACTCTAAAGTTTGTGGTCCATATTTCAGAACGAGTATGCTATGTATATGAATATATTTATAGCATATCTCAATACTTATGAACTAATAAGTGAATTGATATATAATAATAGTGACAACACCCTTAAAATATTGTTGTTGGAAAATGCAATCAAGTGGTAGTATTGTATAGTCTACTTGTGCCTAAAGACAGCTTTGAGTAGATGGGAAAAAACAGCCACCATCACCATCACCACCATCACCACCATCACCACTATCACCACCATCATCACCACCATCACCAACATCACCACCATCACCACCACCATCATCATCACCACCACCACCATCATCACCATCATCACCATCATCACCACCACCAACACCACCATCATCACCACCACCATCACCACCACCACCATCATCATCACCACCACCATCATCATCACCACCATCACCACCACCACCATCACCACCATCACCACCATCACCACCACCACCACCATAATCTACCACCATCACCACCACCATCACCACCACCACCATCCCCACCACCATCACCACCATCATCACCACCATCACCACCATCACCATCATCACCACCACCATAACCACCACCATCACCACCACCACCATCACCACCCCTCACCATCACTACCACCATCACCACCATCATCACCACCACCCCTCACCATCACCACCATCACCACCATCACCACCATCATCACCATCACCACCATCACCACCATCACCACCACCCCTCACCATCACCACCACCACCACCACTGTCACCACCATCATCACTATCACCACCACCACCACCATCATCATCACCACCACCATCACCACCACCATCACCATCACCACCACCATCATCATCACCACCACCATCATCTACCACCATCACCACCACCACCATCACTACCACCACCATCACCACCACCACCACCATCACCACCATCATCATCACCACCACCATCATCACCACCACCATCATCACCACCACCATCACCACCCCTCACCATCACTACCATCATCACCACCACCCCTCACCATCACCACCATCACCACCATCACCACCGCCACCACCACCGTCATCACCATCACCACCACCATCACCACCATCATCACCACCACCATCATCACCACCACCCTTCACCTTCACCACCATCACCACCATCACCACCACCATCACCACCACCATCATCACCACCATCACCACCACTGTCACCACCACCACCATCACCACCACCATCACCACCACCACTGTCACCACCATCACCACCATCATCACCATCATGACCACCATCACCACCATCATCACCATCATCACCATCACCACCATCATCACCACCATCACCACCATCATCACCATCATCACCACCATCACCACCATCACCACCATCATCATCACCATCATCACCATCACCACCATCATCACCATCACCACCATCACCACCACCACCATCACCACCATCATCATCATCACAATCATCACCACCATCACCACCATCATCACCATCATCACCACCATCACCATCACCACTATCACCACCATCATCACCACCATCACCAACATCACCACCATCACCACCATCACCACCACCATCACCACCACCATCATCACCATCACCACCATCACCACCATCACCACCATCACCACCACCATCACCACCACCACCACCATCATCACCACCATCATCACCACCACCATCACCACCATCACTACCATCATCACCACCATCACCACCACCATCATCACCACCACCACCATCACCACCCCTCACCATCACTACCACCATCACCACCATCATCACCACCACCATCATCACCACCATCACCACCATCACCACCGCCACCACCACCGTCATCACCATCACCACCACCATCACCACCATCATCACCACCACCATCATCACCACCACCCCTCACCTTCACCACCATCACCACCATCACCACCACTATCACCACCACCATCATCACCACCATCACCACCACCACCACCATCACCACCACCCCTCACCACCACCACCACTGTCACCACCACCACCATCACCACCACCACCATCACCACCACCACTGTCACCACCATCACCACCATCACCACCATCATCACCATCATGACCACCATCACCACCATCATCACCATCATCACCATCACCACCATCATCACCACCACCATCACCACCATCATCATCACCATCATCACCACCATCACCACCATCACCACCATCATCATCACCATCATCACCATCACCACCATCATCACCATCACCACCATCACCACCATCATCACCATCACCACCATCACCACCACCACCATCACCACCATCATCATCATCACAATCATCACCACCATCACCACCATCACCACCATCACCATCACCACCATCACCACCATCATCACCATCACCACCATCACCACCATCACCATTACCATCATCACCATCACCATCACCACCACCACCATCACCACCACCACCATCATCTACCACCATCACCACCACCACCATAATCTACCACCATCACCACCACCACCATCACTACCACCACCATCACCACCACCATCCCCACCACCATCACCACCATCACCACCACCATCACCACCATCATCACCACCATCATCACCACCACCCCTCACCATCACCACCATCACCACCACCATCATCACCACCACCATCATCACCACCACCACCATCACCACCCCTCACCATCACTACCACCATCACCACCATCATCACCACCACCCCTCACCATTACCACCATCACCACCATCATCACCACCACCATCACCACCACCACCATCACCACCGCCACCACCACCGTCATCACCATCACCACCACCATCACCACCATCATCACCACCACCATCATCACCATCACCCCTCACCTTCACCACCATCACCATCACCACCACCACCATCACCACCACCATCATCACCACCATCACCACCACCCCTCACCATCACCACCACCCCTCACCATCACCACCACCACCACCACTGTCACCACCATCACCACCACCATCACCACCACCACTGTCACCACCATCACCACCATCACCACCATCATCACCATCATCACCACCATCACCACCATCACCACCATCATCATCATCATCACCATCACCACCATCATCACCACCACCATCACCACCATCACCACCATCATCATCACCATCATCACCACCATCATCACCATCACCACCACCACCACCATCACCACCATCATCATCATCACAATCATCACCACCATCACCACCACCATCATCATCATCACCATCATCACCATCACCACCATCATCACCATCACCACAACCATCACCACCATCACCACCATCACCACCATCATCATCACCATCACCACCATCATCACCATCACCACCATCACTACCATCACCACCATCACCACCATCATCACCATCATCACCACCACCATCATCACCATCACCACCATCACCACCACCCCTCACCTTCACCACCATCACCATCACCACCATCACCACCACCATCACCACCACCATCATCACCACCACCACCACCATCATCACCATCACCACCACCACCACTGTCACCACCACCACCACCATCACCACCACCATCACCACCACCACTGTCACCACCATCACCACCATCACCACCATCATCATCACCATCATCACCACCATCACCACCATCACCACCATCATCATCATCACCATCATCACCATCACCACCATCACCACCACCACCATCACCACCATCATCATCACAATCATCACCACCATCACCACCATCATCATCATCATCATCACCATCATCACCATCACCACCATCACCACCACCATCATTTCTTTACAATGCACAAAAACATGTCCCTGAAGGTCTAATGCGTTGCTGAAATGTTGCCAATCACTGCTCGAGTGCGTGAAGGTGTGACCTTTATGCGTCATATATTTGTCATAAATTCATCATCTGGCACACCAGTTACTGTCCTGGGGCCTTTTTTACTTTCAAGAAAAACACGGAAAAACGTATTTTTGTTCGGCATTATCATTTTTTTATTTTTTTTATTCACGAGGTTGCGGGTTCAGATTCCAAGTGACGTTCAACTCGGCCGACAATCACCTCAGAGGACATTGACGATGGGCATCACGGGGAAAGATTGACTCCCCTGCCATAAGAATGTACAATTCACACCACTGACTCAGGGCCGACAAAGACAAGCACTGCCCAGTGCTCACTTCGGCGTGG